ATAGACAGTTCAGTGTGTAAAGAAAAATATTTACAATATGAAATAATAAAATAACCTATCTAACATCATAGATTCTCTGACAGTGACCCTCGCTTCACGTATACCATGTATGCATATATGACAAAAACTATACTACAAATAATTATGGGCTTCCGTTACACGCCTGTGTTTTAAATCAGGTAATTTAAATCTGGTATCGACAAAAATTGAATACATTAAACAGATACTTTCTTTTACACTATTTCACACAGCATTGAAGACACACAATCCCGTAAGTATGGATAATAATTTTACATCGTCGAGACACCTTGGTGTCAAGAACTAATCTGACAAACTTGAACAAAATCCCTAGACATCGATATATCAAACCTGACAAACAGGTTTTCCAAGCGACAGCTCTGTATGCATTTCAGTGATAATCGATGCTGTAAAGTTAAACACTCCACAATGTATGGATGCATATCATTCACAGCAATATTTACTTTTTATCACTTTATACGACCATTTCCGACGACATTTAAATCCGTAGTCAAATCATTGTCTAAGTCTAGTAAAATATCAATGTATGAAACAGATATAGATTCCATTTTGCCTTATGTTTGCATCATGCAATAAAAAACATTTGTGTTATATCCAGATGCACAGAGATAAAATTATCGGTGCAATTCATTCTAAAGGCTTTCATACGGCGGATGTGGCCGGTGAGCAGTGGATGCTCACTCCTCCATGGCACCCGATTCCATCTATGATGTTTGCTCTTCCGTGTTGGCTTTTTTTTAATCATCTGGTTGAAAAAATGAATTTTGTCAGAAAATATAATCTATATTTAGTCAATGTTGATTGACGCCAATACACATTCACAGGCCTAATTTTCACACTGCTTTGTCTATGGAAATTCTTTTTTTTACCTATTAAGAGAAGAAGCATAGAATGGGTTGGACAGGTCGTTATGGAATACTTGTTTCTCCATGGCACCTGATTCCACAAATGTTGTATTTTGATGTTCTATTTGGTCTGCTCTTCTTCTGCATTGCTTCAGTGAATTATCTTAGGTACTTTCTATGTATCATAAACAGAGCATTTAATCACTTTTTTGTTTAAAAAAGAACAAAATACTTTTTGTTTAAAAAAGAACAAAATACTTTTTATTTCAAGGTTGTTACAATTTTTTATCCGAATTTAAAAATACATTAAAGAACTCGTAGATATTGCATAACAATTCAAAAAAAATAACAAGGACAATATACATGTATATGAATTTTTGAAAATTTTCATAGTCACATTATATAACTATTTTTATTCATGAATATCTTTTTAAAGCATCATCGATTTTTAATCATGATAATTAATCCTTTGTTTTCATGTTTAAAATTAAATTTAAGAGAAACGAGGAAACTTTTTGAAAACATTTATACAAAATGTCAGTAAATAATTGATATGTCATTTTTTAAATCAAGAATTTAGAAAATTATTATACACATCAAGTGCATGGTTTTAATGGGTCAAAATATAAAATGATTTAAGACAGAACGAAATAGATAGGCCAAAGTTTTCCTCTAGTTCAATTGCCCTGTGGGGATCCGGGTTAGAATAGGTCCTCCGTACCCCCTTGCTTGTCGGAAAAGGCGACTAAATGGGGCGGTCCTTCGGATGAGACCGTATAAACCGAGGCCCCGTGTCACAGCAGGTGTGGCACGATAAAGATCCCTCCCTGCTCAAAGGCCGTAAGTGCCGAGCATAGGCCTAAATTTGCAGCCCTTCACCGGCAATGGTGACGTCTCCATATCAGTGATATATTCTGGAGAGGGACGTTAAACAGTATACAATCAATCAATCAATCCTCTAGTTCAATTTTTTGAAACTTTGAAAGTTTGTTTTAGGATACGAAATCTCTATATGTAACTTGAAAGAAATTCAACCGCACATTTTTGCCACCATAGTTTGAAATGTGACCTATCAGACCCCTAGAAGATGGTTGTGAATTCAGACTTTAGAATATACATTCATTTTTTTCAGATTACCAATCAATCTATTGCAATATTTTGTGATGTTATTTAATAATACAACCTCTTTGATACTAAATTTCAGAAAATTATATTCAAATACGGGTATATTTAAGAAAATGTGTGGGTACTTCAGGAATGGTAAATTCACATATATAATTTAAGTACGCTACACTTAAAGTTCTCTTTTTTAAGAAATATATTATTCAATTTTAAAAAAAAATCAACAAAATTTAATGATTCAAATGAATCCAAGATTAAATTAAAATGTGTCAAAATGAGGAACAGTAAACAGTGTAACCGGTCAAACGTTGTAATATTCGATCTTTTCCATTTGTTTTGAATAATTTTCTATTTTCTAATATTCCACAATTTTTCGTTAAATTCTTCCATTTTTATTGTTAAAAATATTATTTCTGCTGTAAAAAAAAATCATTGCATAAATTTTATTTGTATTCTATATTTTTCATTTGCATTATGTAATTTCTTATTTGCATTTTATATTTTCTTATATAATATAATATCTTTCTCTTATTTGATATTTTTGTTATTACATGTATATAAGTAGTGGAGAGTTAATTTATACGCATTCTAGATTAAGAGTAAAGATTAAGAGTAAAGAAGTCAACAATTAATGGAGATAAAGAACAGTATTCGAGCTCAAAAGTTTAAACAACATAATCTGCATTTTAAAAAATTTATTTTGCTATTAAAATGTGTTATTGTATCTTATATCTTTATGATTAATTAGACTAAAATAAATCAGAAGAAAGACTTCTATATACAATCCAATGTACACTTTTATATAAGAAATCATTTTTGTACAGGGCGACAATGATGTAATTTTGATCCAATCGAAGATTATAGATAGTTCTTCCATCGCAAATATGAACGACATAAGTTCATTAGTGCTGTTTTTCTGTCGTTGGAGTTATTTACAATTTTGCATCAACAAAGTCCGACATCCAAGTTGCAGCTCATATTGCTTTAAACATTATAAAATAGAAGCGGAGCAAACACGTACCCCCGTGTATATATTATGCATTATAAGTTTTATTTAATAATATGATTAAACATAAAATTGCCAAAGAATTTTAAATACATAAACCTGAATTATTTGCAGATTCTTTTAACGTAAATATTTATGTCAAAAATCTTAGATACCATATTTAAAAGCGGTGACAAAACGTAATTTTTCTTATGCATGTCAAGGAAAAACGAAATTAAGCTTAACTTACATGCATCAACAAAACCCTTATTTTGCGATGTGAATGCAATTATTAAAAATTTTTTTTAAAACAAAATCATAATCAACAAAAAATACTGAAAACTTGTAAATTAGTTCAGCTTTGTTGTTTTGATTAATTAACCATTTCAAGCATTTCATTAGACTCCTTGATAGTCAAACAATACACCTGTAATTCTTTATCATTACTTTCAAATGTTGAATTCGTTCCATTTTTGCCTTCAATACTCACATTTAATTATGCCACACATGTCGTAACATCCCTTAAGAAGTATTAATGTTTACAAGAGTCTCCGTATTTTTTCTTAATTACATTTATTCGCGTAATCTTAAAGCATATCACAAAACTTCTCTCCCTTGTGCTAATTTCCAAAAAAAACAAACACACAAAGTGTGCCTTACTCAAAGCTTGAAAAAATGCGCAATTAATTCTCAAATGACAAACAAGTCTTACGTGTTCGGATTCTATACTTTTAATAACATTTTTGCGTGTTTAGGAGTAAGTTAGTCTATATTGTGTAGGTGTAAGCACGTGAATTCTTTGAAATCGGCTGATCTTTTAATTCATAAACACAATCAGGTAAAAATTTCTTTACTTAATTCATACAACAAAATAAAAAAGAAACAAAAAAGAATCAAATACATGTTTCATATAAATTTACAAGAATATCTTCATTTGGGGGTGGAGATTCCTGCATAACAAAAAAAAAAAAAAAACAAAAAAACAAAAAAACATGTACATATGTACATTGTTTACATATAGAAAACAAAGATAGTGTCTATAAAACCTCTTCAGTATATATTATTCTGTTTTATTATGCAGTAAAAATAAAACATCTTAATCTTCATTTTTGAGACACTTAGAAAATCGACTACTGCACTAGTATTGGCTTTCATTCCACTAAACCAAGTACATGTATCGCCATACTATTTCAATATACACGCTAAAAAAGTGGTAAGAGTTACTTTTCTTTCATCATGTTCATTATCCCTCATCATCGGGTTTATACATATGAACTGCTGAAGTTACACATGTATCTGCTCCCTACCGTCTCGGAGGGAGTTTTTGTTATCCTTATAAATGGCTGAACCATTCAATCAGTCTTGTAAACTGTATATGAATTAAGTTCGCAATTCCTTTTCCAAATCAATGGCTTCAAATGACGGTATCAGAGGAGCTCAAAAATTATAAGGTACAATCTGCAAACGTCTCAAGACCAAGCAATTTGAGTCTCAACTCAAGTTATATGGTGATATATATTGAAAACACATGCTCTTCTAAATTTCAAAGTGCATCTAGTGGTTTCAAAGAGAAATTTTAAGAGAGCATACAAATTTAGATTCAGAGTCAACTTCTTATTTCCTGAACAATTTTGTTTGACCAAGGAGTGCTATTCCAAACACGAAGATTCCGGCATTGGTCTTAAGAAAAATAATAACAATCTCCTTTTGTTTGAAAAAATGTTTTTATTTTCTTCTTAATTTAAAGTGTTAAAGGAACAAAAGGATCATATCAAATATGTTCCTATAGAAAATCTATGCTAAAACAAATACAACAAAGGATTGGACGAAAAGTTGAAATTACACAAGTAATAATGACAATGTACATGTAAACACTTTAATTAGAATCGTTATTTACATAAATCCTGTGTTCATTAGTTTATATTTTCCCCATGGATCCATATAACAGAATTTATATAATGTGATATTTGTGACAGTTGTTCGTTCAGCGAACAACTGTCACAAATATCACATTATATGAATTCTGTTATATGGATCCATGGGGAAAATATCTTGAAATCTTATCTTCAGTTGTTCTTGACAAGTTTAAAGTTATTAGCTATCTTGTACATTTATCATTTTATGGATTTCAAAGCATTTTGAAAAGACTTCTAAACATTATAGGACTAGTGAAATCTAGAAATAGAAATCTTTTTAAAAAACATTAAATTTTGAGAAGGTAGACTGAGAAAGAAAGTACACTGTAATACATTTCTTGTTATTTCGCAATAAACTGATGCATAAAATTAACTGTTCTCAGTTTCTGTAGGGTAACATGCAGAGTCTGCCTCCTTTGTCTCCACCTTCTCTCCCAGGAGTGGTGAATCAAGAAAACTAATAGAACTACCTGGAGCATGTTGTTCGAAGATCAGGATCTAGTGAAAAAAAAATTCCACATGTAGGTGAATGCCTCTTATTCTACATTTAACTTTATACACTAAAAACTCTTAAGATTTCGAACGCAGAAAAAAGGAAGCACGTTAGAGTTTTTCTTAAGGTGCACAATCATATACATTGTACGATTATGTTATCACAATAGTCCGTTATTTCCATAGCTTAGTATACCATTAAAGCGATCGAATCTAAGATACTCCAGCATACATCCTGCACATTTTATTAAATTTGTTTCCTACACAAATCATGGCGGTCATGAGAATATTTTTAATTTTAAACTTTATTATCTAGGATTTTTTTTTCTTTTCAATATTACCAATTCCTTTCTAAAATATTACAGATACATATTTCATTGACATACACCATTATTTTGCGTATCGATGAGGCAAAGATCAATTTATAATGGTAACACAGTCTTATCAAAAAAGGGAAAATGAATTTTTACCTCATTTTCCCCCCGTTTTAACAACGGAGCAGGGACATACAGTGTTCTTGTGGGTCCAATTTTCCAGTATCTTCCAAGGTTAAAGCCATTCAGAAACACAACACCTTTATTCCAACCCTATAAACACAAAAATAGGCAATAAAATTAGCTACGAAATGTAACAAAATGTTCCTCCTATAGATGCCATGACAGAGATTTTCAATGCTTGGTCCAGAATGGACAGAAAAACAAGTTTAGCCATCAAGTATAAGGACTGACATACTGGTACAGTACATTGCATAATCTGATCACTTACATTCATATCAAGAAAGGTATCACAAGGTGTGTCGTCTATTTGTAGCGATGTCCTCAGAATCATAGGTCCTTTACGATTCGAAGTAATTGGTTTCCATTCTGCACAATTTCGGGTACTTAAGAAAAAAAATCTCGTGTTCCTCATTATTTTACCCAGTAAATTGTCATATGTTGTAAATAAAGAACTTACCAGTTGGCACTAAGTACAAAACTTAAAAGAGGACATATCATCACGCTTCATTATTTGTATAATACAACCCAGTAAGTTCAAATTCACAGCAAGGCAAATATTTCATAAAATTATTTTCAAAAAATTTTGGAAAAAAGTTGCTTCCTTGCCTGTCCAATAGATTTGATTTGAAATCTAGTGGAAATATGTCCCATTTCTTTATTTCTTTTCCATCCAACTTTATAGACCGGTTAATACCTGCATAGTTTAATATCAAATTAATAAAATCCATCACATGTTGTACAATTAACATTTTATTATTGCAATATATATTATATAACAACATGTAATTTTATAAGGCCTTGGAAACAAAGGAGAACATTAAAAAAAGATTTTAGTTTCGAAAATTGTTCAAAATTTCTTTTTAATGACCTTTTCTTTCCTCATTGAATCTGTTAGAACCATATTCAATGTAGTTTACTCTTCCATGATTTTCAACCAAAATGTCCAGCGTACTGTTTTCCTGAGAGTAATATAATTTTACATCATATTAATTTAACAAAAACGATTTTCTTTAGATTGATATTTATGGAAATTATGTAATGCAAAAATTGAGAAAATTAAATAGTTTTTCATTACTGATTTCAATTAGATGCTAAGTTTAGGTATCAATATTTTTTTCAATATCATACAGTTTTATCGTACAACAATTACCAAAATATTGTCAATTTCTAATTTTCCATCCTTGCTCATCCAATCAAGTATTCCCTTCTCTTCCCCATTAACCATCACCTGAAATCAAATTCTCATAATTTAAGAAACTTACTGGTGAAAGAATATACCTTTGAATTTTCGAGACTTCTACTATCTTTGAAAAAGAAACTCTACTTGTACTCTATCCTTTGGTACTTCAGTGAATAGTAATTCTTTTCCTGGGTTAATTTCAGCTCGATACAAAATGTATCCAAAACATTGGCCATATCCCTGGTGGTAGTCAAGGTTTTCCATTAAAACTGGTTCTGTTGTCTTTATTGGTGTCTATTTAGAATTATTGGGAAAGAAGAATTTTATAAGTAATGATAAAAAAAATAATTATGAATAATTCTTATTTTGATGTACAATTATGCAGCTCCCATTCGATGATTTTTTTCATTGCATTTCAACTGCTGGTCTTTATCAAATATTAAAATAAGTTAATTACCAGATTTAAATGTGCTAATTTCAATAAGAAGGAATTGTACATTTGTACATGTAATATACCAATATGCCTTTTCAGGATGTTGTCTGCATGCCATCTAAAAATAAATACTTATTGTGTACTTACCATTAGAGATAAAATATTTTTTAAATCTAAAAACTGAGACACTGCAATTTCACCTGTGTAAAATGAAAAAAAATGAACAATACAATTTTTTAACGAATACTGTAGTTTATGAATATTTGATAATTAGGTTCTATTTTGCATAATTAAATTATTAGATTGAAAATGTTACCATATGCTTTCTTTGGCACATTTGCAGGAAGTTCTGGTAAAGATGTTATTCCTGAGCAAAAAAAAAAAAGATGGTCCTTTAATTCAGATAATTTTTTCATAGTGTAAATGAAAATAAAAAAAAATGTTCTTTGCATGAAACTTTAAGCACAATGTAATTTTATAAAATCTGTAACATTTTTTACAATACCCTGTGGCTTCAGTCCCTTCTCCAATATTATTTCTCTGGCCTTTAAATATTTTGGAGTGATGTCACCTGCCTCTGACAAAGGTGCGTCATAATCTGTTCACAGATAAAATAAAGAAAAATTTGTTCATGTTATGCAGTTGAACTTCGACATTTTGGGCAATTAATGCTGTGAAATTTTAGTCTGTAATGTAAAAAACTTTTAGTCTAAACTTTATATCTCGGACTTTTTCTGAGTATATACATATTAATGTACCAATAAATTGAAAAAAAAAATTTCAGGAAGAAAATAAACACAATGAATATGATTTTCAAAAATGATGTGTAAAATATTTTTCATTTTTACTGAAGATTTTTTTGGCATTGAATATAAATAATTTTATCAAAAATAAAAATTACCATAGCTTGTAACATCGGGTTTGTAGTGTGATCCTTCAAAATAATTGGCACCAGCCATGAAACCAAAGTTGGTTCCTCCATGAAACATGTACATGTTAAAAGACCCTCCAGCATCCAAGATACCAGAAAGGCAGGCTTCAAACGCTAGAATGGAAACATGAATTGTTCAAATACGTGTAAACTGTGCATGGTAAGAAAAATCATAATGAAATTGGAATGTGAAAATAAACAACCCAAACTGCTTGCTATTTAGCAATTTTCAAATTTCATTTCAATGCTTTATGTTGAATTCAACTCCAAAAAGGTCTTCAAAATCTCTATAGCGATATATTTTACAATAAAAAAACAAAGATTCCATCAATTTCACAGGTATATTTGAATTTTGCAAAAACTCAAATGACAACACCAACACCTTTTTTAAATATATTTTTAACAACGTAGGTTTCGTGGATATTATGCATATCTTCTTTTTCAAGCATTGTTCCGTTTACTGAAATTTAACCTGGAATATCCAATCCTTTGTGAGGTTGTCCCCAGTGGTCAAACCAACCAGGCCAGAACTCCATAACCATTAGAGGAAACTCGGGACTCCATTCTCGAATCATTTTGAACAGTTTGGCGCCATCTTCCATAGTTGGGAAGTTAGCAGTAGGTAAGGCATCTATATAGTTACAAATCAATACAGGTTTCTAAAATAACCATTTTCTTTACATAATAATTATATTAATGATCAATTTGTTAATTAATGTAAACAGAAATTGTAACAACAATAAAATTAGAGGAACAATCCGCTCTTTACTGTACATTTGTAAAATGGCGCTCTTTTCAGTCCAAATATATTGTCAGATGTTAGAAGAAGTTCCTTGATGCCATTCTTCAAAAGTATCTATGAACAGAGGATTAAACATGTTCAAACTCAATAAAGATGTCATCTACATAAATATCAATTAGACACACAAATATTCTCATTTCCAATGTCTTTGTCCTAGATAAAATTGCAAATTGTTAATGTACTTTGCACTGGTTCATCGGGGCGGGACAAGTGTAGAGACAGACGCGGGGCTTAGAGCACATGGATTGGCGGAATCAAGAGCATGTAAATATAAGGAATGACTGTCAGATTTTTCGATTTCATGATGTGATCAATCGATTGGCTTGCGTGATAATTTAATGCATAAACGCCTTATGCAAATTATCACGCAAGCCAATCGATTGATCACATCATAAAATTAAAAAAATTAGACAGTTAGCCCTTAAATCATGTACAAAATGGCTGCCCACCTCTCTGATGACGTGGAGATGATCAACCTCCGTGCTGTAGGAACCAAATTCGTTCTCCACCTGTACTGCAATGATTGGTCCACCACAGCTGTGCTGAAATGTTGGAAAGAATAGAATTAATATACCATATATGGTTACATGTACCAGTTTGAGGCTACAAATTTAAGTTTGAATATGGAAAGATGGTTGTAAACTTGACTAAATAATGAAGTATTATTTATGTACTGTATATCTGTACAAAAGAATTTAAGTTTCTTTTGTCTCTTAGTCATGCATGCTCTTCGAAACTTGCATGTATACAAATGATTTTTTTTCCACCCAAAGCAGAAAAATACCGAAATTTGGAGTACCTGTTGATCGACAATTCTTGGCAGCAGCTCGTCCAGAAAACGTTTCACGGCTTCCACATACGGAGGGTAATTACTTCGGACTTTCATGTTCGGGTCCTTCAGTAACCAACTGAAAAGTGGTTTGTGTTTAATATATTAGTCTAAAAGTTTGTATATTTATCGTAAAAATAGGTATCAAAAAATAAGCAATTCCCGTCTTAATTCTTTAGGAACTGGAACGGTGTGCTAAGAGGTTTGTTTGAGCCAGGTACTTGTACGCCATAGACAAAAATAGTTCCAGGGTGTGTATTAATTTCTGATTTTTAGGGCTCATGGGAGCAGGTAGCATGGTGTTTGAAATTGTGGGGGAGGGGGGGGTGTTGACAACTAACTTGAAAATCTTTGAAAAAAAGAAAGAAAAAGAAAAATGTCCATTGCCAGATTTGAAAATCGAATTTTGTTGGTTTTGTTGTTGTTGTTTTGTTTGTTTGGTGTTTTTTTTTTTTTTGCGAGGAGGGGGGGGGGGTTGCTTTGTTGTTTTTTTTTCGGATTGAGGGGGGTTATTAAGTTTTTTGACACGAAAACGTCTGATTGCATTGGATTTGTAAGAAAATTTTGACTGAACTGCAAAAGGGAGTGTGCAAAAAGCATTTCTAAGAGAATGTCCATATAATATGAACGTCTAATTAAAATATTATATTGGAAAATCTTTAATGACATGCTCAGTCAAACTATTCATTACTTTATCCTTTACATCATCTTTGCTATCGATCCAGAATCAAAACCCAGGGTAGCGAAGATGCATTTACATGTACTACAATTTACAACATTTGTTGCAATGGAATATAAAATACCAAACCAATAGAAGTGGGCTTTCTTTCACTGTACCTCGGCATCCCTCCCCAGTCCCACTCTGCACAGATATAGGGTCCCGGTCTGAAGATGACGTATAACCCCTCCTCACCAGCTTGTCGAATAAACTCTCTGTAAAGAAACGATATAGGAGGATCTAAAATCATGCAGGTGCTTGAAGTAAGTTATATGTCAGGCACGTAGCATCGATTTTGAAAGTGGGGGGCCAGCCACTGAAATTTTTTTTTTACTTACCTGAAAAAGTTGACAAGCAAAAAAAAAAAAAAAAGGAAAACTGCCCAAAGTCGAAAATCCTATTTCGTGGTGGTGGTGGTGGGGGGGGGGGGGGGGGTAGAGGCCACGTTTTTTCACTACCAATTCCTTTTAATATCCATTTTTTAAGCTTATATTTCCTTCATATTACTTCACTTTAGTATACAGTGTGTGGGGGGGGGGGGAGGGGGGCACCAGCCTTTCAATGAACATTTGCAATAGTTCATTATACAATGTTTGTTTTGTTCTGTTTTGTATATGTATAACTGTGATGATTTTGGACACTGTTCTGTATGCTCCACTGTGGGCCCTAATTGGTTGAATAAATATTCTAATTCTAATATTCTAATTCTAATAGTAAAGGTATTGTTGGCAAAAAAAGTGGAGGCCAGAAATATTCCCCCCCCCCCCCCCCTGTTAAATTAAAACCCCCCCACCCCCCCCCCGGTTGTTACGTCCCTGTATGCAAAATTTTTCTTTGTATTATTTACAGCAGTTTTGTACATGTGTTTCATACCTAACATCCAATAATCCGGAAAAGTTAAATTCGCCTGGATATTCCTCGTGCAAATTCCATGGAACGTATCTACAATGGAAAGTGATTCTTTATGTGCAATGTATGCTTCTTCCCAGTAACTAAAGCAACTGTTATACTGTTTTCATCAAATATGATGTGAATTTTCCATTTTCTCTTACGTTTCTACTGTATTCAAACCACAAGCTTTCATCTTCTTGAAGCGGTCCCTCCAATATTCGGGAACCACACGGAAATAATGCATGGTGCCACTGAATATCCGGAATGGTTTTCCATCCAGTATGAAGTTCCCATTTTTAAAGGTAAGTGATCCAGGACTTATGTAAACCTCCGACATTCTGAAAGAACATAAATTTATGCAGATTTCGTGCCTTTGTTAAGAATGTCGCTACCATCGTGAATAAGCATGTAATCACATTGGCGTCGGAAGCAAATTGATAGTGGGGGGGGGCTAAGTGTAGGAAAAAATTTTTTGGTACCTTCAAAAAACCTGACAAGCAAAAAAAAAAAAAAAAAAAAAGGGAAATGTCAATTTCCCAAACACGAAAATCCTATTTTTCGTGAAATTGGGGGGGGGGGGGGGGGGGGGGGGGGGGGGGGTTAGGTTCGAAATTCAGTACCAAAATTTTTTTTCCAAATACCACTACTTTCCCTATTTTTAACCTATACTGCGACATGTCTGTGGAAAGTGGGGGGCTAAACCTACAAAGATATGTTCAATGTTTATACTAAGTATATATTTGGAAAAAAAGTCGGTAGTGGATGGGGGGGGGGAACAAATTTTAGTTATAAAGTTTTTACGAATTAATCCCCCCAGCCCCCCCCCCCGGTTCCGACGCCTATGAATCATTATGCAACACCCCCTTCTCTTATACTGAAATTGCTTCCTACGGGTCTGAATATGCCATTCAACCCCTTTCCACTGTACCACAACCAAAAATGAAATTTTCAAAAAGTGTGTACGGGATGAAGCATGATAAAATTTAAAAGAGAGAGAGAGAGAGAAAAGAAATATGGCAGGCTGTTTTGGGGAGTTCGGTGGGAGTTGAGCTGTAGCATGTATAGGGTGTCCGAGACTTGTGGTATAAAAATGTGCTTAATATGTATAAACTTTGTGTAAAAAAAAAAAAACTTGCCATTTGTAAACAACCTTGTTATCATTGTTACGGGTATGCGTTACAGGCATGCATTCAATATGACATTTGCAAAGAATGAACTGTATTACATACATGTTGAAGATGTCATAAATGCTTATATTTACACATGTACATACAAGTCAATAATCTTAAAGGAAAATTCTTATATTGACAGAATACGTTTATCCTACCTGATAAAGCAATGCCGACCCTTTCCTATCTATGTAGGTCAAATGAATTTAAGAATTTTATCAAGGACAAGCATATTTGTGTGCAAAGCATTCTATTAATAATAGCATATTTAAAAGCTGGTAGTAAATAAATTTATTAGAAATATTCCCTCTTTTTAAAGAACCCAATGTGAAAAATTATAATTTTTGAAAATATGGGAATGTACATGCATCGTTTATTATTTTTTTTAATCAATGCTGTTAAATTAAAAAAAGGATGCATGTGTTGGAATACTATACTTAATTTAATTAGAATTATATTATTATTTTAGAAATGAGTCTTTGGAAGAGTACATGTACATCATACATATTTCTGCCATATTAATCTGTGAGAAGTGTCTTTTAGAACCCTTCATCTAACGTACCCCGAATGCCTTTGATATAGTTTTTTTTCTTTATCAAGACGTTCCGGTGAAGACAAGTTAGATATTGTTTTGACAATGAATCGTTTGATCGATTACATGATTTTTTTCATTTATACTTTCATTCATTAATTGATACATTCATTTTGTTTTGTTTCGATAGATAAATTAATACCTCTAATTTTTGGAAGTACTAGTTGTTCCTTCAAATCAGGAGAAATTTCCGAATCCGCTTATGGAGGCACTTAGTGTACATGTAGGCCTTAACTTTCGCCCCCCCCCCCTTCTTGATCAGAATCCCGATACCCATGGGCGGATACAGGAATTATGACTGGGGTTGGATAACTTTGTTCAGGCAGAGCTAGCCCCCCCCCCCCCGGCCAGTTTATCTAGAAGCCTCTCTTTTTCGTGTATTTTAAAAATAAAATCAGGCAAAAAATAGTGGTATTGATTAGCTACACACATACTATTTCAGTTTTTTAAAAACATTAAATAAAAATTACTATTGAAAAATTTTATTGATTGAAAATAATTACATGTATAACACTAAAGTATGGCATTATATTGATATTGGTCCAAAAAAAAATAAGAAAGGGGGGGGGCTGTCCTGTATTATATATTTTCAAAGTGCTCATATGTTACATGTAACAAGGAGTAAATATACGTCATTCATGTTTTATATGACATATTGAACTATAGGAAATTATAACTTAAAATAAATTATTTCAAAGGATTTGTCTCGCATTAAAGCAAAAACACGCCGATATAGATAGTTTTCGATTGACCAAGAGTTATTTCCCGTTGGCCGCCATACTGGAGGTTCAAAAGCTCATATTCCTTCATTGTTCAACCAATTTAAAATTTTTATATTTGCTATTTTGAATTAGAAATCATTATTTTTCTGAAGTATATAAATTTTTGGAAGCCTCCTTTATTTAAAAAAAATTATTTGATAAAGATTTTCCACCAAATATTTCTGCTATATTTTTTTAAACTTGGTAAGACAAAGAGGGAAAATCACTGAGTCGACCTCCAATATGGCGGCCAACGGGAGGTAACTTTCGCTAAATTCAGGCCTATCGAAAACTATCTATACATGCATCGGAGGCTTAAATAATAATAATAAAAATATTCCTGTCTCCACATACAAGAACATTTATCAAATAAAGCCGCTTATAGATATACTTACAATAACCAGTATCCAACCCACCCCACCCCCATATACCTATGATCCGCCCTTGTATTTAAAATGCAATGTATATTATCAGTGATGGCGTAACCTATACTACATGTGTCATCATTCAATCACTACGCTGTACGACAACCAGTGTCTGGTGATATATTATATAACTTATGTTCATTTACCTGCAAAGCTTTGCATTGACTGTATTTAATATTCCTGGTACTTTAATCCTTAGTGTTTATTTTACTTTTTTATTTGAAAAACTCATGTTGGGCTTTGTATAGCGCCATCCAATCAAAATAGAAGGATAATCAAGTGCTAGCCAAATCAACCAATCAAATGCTTTGTTTGGTAATCGCTCACCTGCCCGTGGAGAATGGCGTCAGTTGGCGTAAGTAGTATTTTGTAAATTTTACTACGTTAAATTGTTCGATACTGCAAAGTCAGAAAAGGCTCAAAATTTGTTCAAAGCTTTCTCATTACATGCAGATCATGACTTTTTATCGATTAAACCTGTAAGTACTGACAAAATGTATTTGCAAACATTCAACGAAACACCGTACGCGTAAAAAAAGTTGTAAAAGTTTAGATTTAAATTACAGCATGAACTTTGATGTGTATTGCGGTGTAGGTTTTGTTTGCCTATAGCTTATGAAGCTAATTGTATCGATTTTTGTGCCAGAGAAAATGTAACAAGGTTATATTTTTGTTTTCTTTACTTATTTATTTTGTTGGTTTGAATCAAGTCACATCTTTGAGTTTTCCCATTAAAAGTGTTCAGAAACCCCAATGACGACACATGAGCCGTTGATAATACCAAAATCAGCGATGCGTAAACTTTTACTGCAGTTGTTGCACTCGTTTAATTCTGCCCAACACTTGAAAAAATAAATGGCAAAACAATCTCATTGGTGGCGGATCAAAATGTTTCACAAACATGACAGAATATATGTCACTGTCTATGCCCATATTTATGTACTTTTTTGTTTCTTTAATTAACATGGTTATTTAGATAAATCAATGGCCCTGATCTTAAAATTTGAAGCTTATTAAAATGGGACATGAGTTCCCTGAATTAAAGCATATATTAGGAAAAACATGTGGTCAGTTTGGTAGTTATAATTATGAAAACTTCAGTGAAACATATTTTGAAAAAAATGGATTTAAAAAAGGTTGAAGGATTATAAGGAGAAAATCAACATTTTATTTAGCTACCCGGTAATTTTATCAGTTCAAATATGTTAACAGTTAAGGGAGTAAATATCTGTTAAAGGAAAATAGATGAATTAATTTCTTTTACATTTCCTAATCTTTTATTTGATCAATAGCTTAGAGGTGTTTAAAATTAAAGTTAGAAATATTATTTACATGTATTAATATTTAATTGCAAATTTTTAACTCAAATGTGAAAAAAGTCCTTATTTTTTCTCTTCAGGAGCCTACACATTCCAAGAGGCCACATGCAGTTACAGAAAGATTAAAAGAATTCCTGAATGCCCCCTCCCCCACCAAACAGAAGTGCTGCCCCGTCCCTGGGTGTTCAAAAGTCCTGAGTAGTGACCCAGGGCTCAGATATCACATACAGGCTCATCATACTGACCATAGGGACTTTGTCTGTAACACCTGTCAAAGGACCTTCAAAAGGTTGGCAAAAATTTTAAACCTATACAAATGTTGAGCTATTAAAACAGAAGAGAAACATATTTAATTTGATATATTTTTTTAAATGCATATATTTTAATAATATTTACATCCACTGAATATTTTCTCCTCTATCATGTTTATTTCTTAAGAAAACCCATTGTGCTAATCACTGCATGAACTACATTAGGCATGTCGCCTGTACAGATTTCTTGATCAGTGGCTGTTCCATCAATGAAAAGTATAAAGATGTTCGCATCATTAATACAATAATTAATCTTTTTGATCCTACTTTAAATGATTATTTAATGAAATATAAATATAAACAATATGTTATTACTGGAATTAACGGTTGCAGCTATTGCAGAAAAAAAATTACATAACCCGCTTACGCGGGTTATGTATTTTTTCTGCAACAGCTGCTTCCGTTAATTCCAGTAATAACAAACAAAGAAAGCATTTTATTGTTTAAGAATATTTTTTTAGAAGATAAAGTGTATTTGTTTTACTTAAAATGCTTCCAGGTCTATGTTACATTTATAACTAAAAAAGTGTGGCTTAAATTCACTATACATTTCAAATTCACTTCTGAATCATCATGTTTATAGATCAGCTAAATGATAACTCTTCTAAAATCTAAGACATTCTTATTTGCTCCCTTGAAGAATTGCCCAAGAAGTAGCATACATGCATATATGGAAGCTAGCTTAATTACAATCATGCACATTGTTCATCATGTTCATTATATTTTTTTACATATACAATGTATCATATAAATTAATCAATTTATTCACTCTTAGATGAGAAGTTCCTTGTTAGACATCAAGGAAATAATTATTTTAGAAATGGTCATGAGCTTTTGAGAATTCAGGAAAAATTAAATGATATTAGATATTTCTCATATATCAGTTGTTACTGGCATTGGAATTCTGAGAATCAATTTACATTAAAACAACTTAGTTTTCACATTTTAGTAAAAACACAATCTATGAAATTGATTTTTTATCTAGATAAGAGAAAAATTTTTGATTTACTGGTGCTTGTGAATGTGTGTGAATCTTGGAGCTTGAATGTGATAATGAATTAACTTGTAAGTTGTAGACAAAGGGAAGTCACTTGTGCATAATTATGATGCTACTACAAGGCTGGGTTATCATTCTTTGTATATGTTCTCATAATTGTTTTTGTAAACTTTGCTTTCCAATAATGAGACGATCTAATTTAAATTTATATTTTGATCCCTTCTTGAAGGAATAACCCCACATCTTACAGGGATGCTTTTTATTTCATAAATTTAAAAACCTTGTTGACCCCCCCCCCCTTGCCCCCCACAAATATACACATGCTTCATCATTGTTTATTTTAATGATTTACATATACTGCCCAATTTTTCAGGTCTGGGGTTAAATCCACATAATTATTGATGATTATAAAAAAAATCTCAGTCATTTATTGAGCAATGATAATTTATTCAACAATAATATACTAACAGTCACCGTTGCCTGTGAGAATATAATCCCATTCAAGGAAACTTCCTTGACGCTTACTGGGTTTTACCAGAACTTATATCCTTGTATTTTTGTATTGATGATGATTCATTCCAATAGGCTGAAGGGGATAAAAAAGAGGGAAGTTCTTGTTTTGTTTTTTTTATTGTCATTACTGATTCATGACTGATATTTTAGCTCCAATGGCCTGAAGTATCATCTGAAGAAACGAGCAGGGTGCTGCTACGAGAATGTCATGGAGATTCCAGAAAACGAGGTCAACGTTGAGCAGAATCGGGTCAAATCAGGTAAACAGAATATTATATTACGTGGACATGATAGATGCATGTTAGTGCACAGGTGTTTATATCGGATTTTGGATGCACACTTTCAGTTGTTGTAAATAATTGGATTACCTGGATACCATAGACATTTTGGGTAGGTAAATTGTTTGTTTAATAGATGCACTCCATGACAACTATTCTCACTTTAAAAATTCTTGTAGATCAGCATAAAAGTTTATTAAAGCAGGAAAAAGTTAACATTAATACAGTTTATTTATTTGCTCATAAATATATATGAAAATGTTGTAACACATAAGGGCATTTTTTTTAACATTCTTTCAGCTTCCAAAGTCCCTGAGCCTCTCAATTTGATTGGTGATTCCAGTACGTCAACTTTGCCGTCCTTCACAAATGTGAGCCAGAATGAGGCTGACAGTCGACTCATAGAGTTCGCTAAGATTGCCACCAGTCCTCAAAGTCCTTTGATGCAATCTGCTCCCCTGAAAGTGTGGGAGAAAAGGTAAGTTCCAGAGTTCTTGCTTTGAGATTTCAACAAGAGTCTACAAATTTTGCAGTTCTGAAAAGCCCTAGATTAGTGCATTTGAAGAGTAGACATATTGCAATCAGTTTTAGTAAGGATTTTGCACCATTGACCAGGTAGCTCCATTGTTTAAGTACCCCCTTTATTAGAGTTGAGGGGTGACAGCTCGATCAAGATCATGTTCCTGTCTGTTGCATTTTCTCCCTTTTCCACTTGGGTGTTGTTGACCTTCCCTGGACATGAAGGAGAAAGACCTGCCAGGGGAAGTTAAATTTGGGTTAGTGTCTACAGGGAAAAGACACTCAAGGAGAGAGGAACTTGGTGGTTAAGAAAACATGTTTGCTTGGTATGAGTTGGTATAGCACCTGTTTGGAGTTCAGGGCTCTGAGTTCAAATCCTGGTCTGGTCTGTTATGTTTTCTCACTTCTGTTTCACACATCTTACAATCTAATGTACAAGACTACCTGACTTCAGATTTTTTTCCCCAGTGACTTGGGGCATTATCATGATTATACTAATTATACATTACTGTCTCATATGATTGTCTTTAATTGTAGCTCACAAGAATTTTGTGTAATTTAAAAGTTCATTTACTCCATACTTGTGAATTCTTGTAATTTACACACATACTACATAAACGTCGAAAAACTTTGCAATATGAAAGCTGTGTATATTTTTTTCCCTTGTAATTTAAAACCATGAAGGTGTCATAGTCACAGATGTTTACAATTCTGAACCATTGAATATCAGATGGCTATTGTTTGGTTGTAATATGATGACATTTTAGACTGTACTACATGTATCATATGTTGAAAAGGAAGAACAGGGTGCAGTTTAACAAACCGTCATATAAACCAAAAGTATCATACAAAGACGGGGTATACATGTAATTAAAATGTTAAAAAATGAAACAGCTTGTGATGTTAAATCTTTATAAAAAATGAAACTGAAATCAGTTTATTACTTCAGTTTCAGAGCAATTTGATAATATTTTGTATGCCTTTACTTTAAAATATTAATTAGAAATGCATAAATGTATAAGTACATGTGTATATCACTTTATTATGAACATGACTGCGGCATAATTTTTTTGTATTTTTTTAAAAATGGCATGTTTAATTTGTTTGTAGCCCTGCAGTCAGAAAAATCAAGTTCCCAGAAAAGGCCAGTTCTACAACAGTCGCAAGTCAAACATCTAGAGATGACAATGGGTAAATATTTACGTTAACTACACAGGTCAGAATGATCAATAAACAGCAAAAAAAAAAAAATTACTGAACATAAATGCTGAATCCTATTACTCTGAGAAGGAAGGTGCATGTACTTGCTTTGCTTTTTTTTTTATTATAAAGAGTTACAGCCCTTACACTGCTTGAAAAAATTAATTTGTATTGACATTGAAAGCCAAAAAATATTTTTTAATGTAAAATGTGTGATTCTGTAACACTTGCTTTGAATGCTAAGAATTTCTAAAGAAGTAGAAATAGTAATTGAGGGGGGGGGGATCTCCCATAGTCAGAAACTTTTTGATTTCAGTTAGTACATGTAATAGAATATATTGATCATGTTGATTGCCATCTAAATTTTTTTTTTAATTGAAGTATGGATCCTACAACTTTATTTAAGATATGAAATGACAGTTACATGTGCTAATGATATTGTACATTACATTTTTAGACTCTTTCCAGATTTTTTTTTATTTTTGAAAAAAATGGAGGTCTAATTAAGTTTTGTTTCATGGTTTGAATTTTAGGAATTATTGTGATGATGGCAGTGATCCTAAAGTCACATCCTCTTCGCCATTCTCGGGGGGTCTCGGCCGGAATTCAAACTTGGAGGAAACGTGGTCTCATAGCTGGCCAAAGGCAGTGTGGCAGTGCTTTATTAAAGGTTTGTACATATAACAAGATTATAGTCAGCTATTTCACTTATACACTAAAATCTGATTATCTCAATTCAGATACGACCGTGAAAATTTGAGATATTAGAGGATTCAAGTTATTGAGGTTGAAATGCATATTCAAAAAAATCGTTGCAGCGACTTTCAGGTCACTTTTACATTAACAGTGTGATTTTAAGATAAATGCTTGAGATAAATGTATTAAACTTGAACTATATTTTATAATTGATCCAGTATATCTTTATACAAAAATAAATACCATATGACAAACTCCATCTTTTCAAGTTAAACTTAGACACAATTAAAGAATTTGCAAGTCAGCAGTAGTAATTTTATAAGAATTGCTTAGAGCTCAGATTCTTAGAGTTATCTTCTCTTTGTGCATGCAGTCTTGAGCCTATGGTAAGTGCTTATTGCTGTTGTTTACTAGTAACCATGTTTGTAGCATTGACATTTAACAGCACAAAATTTTGAGATGTTTTAGATCTGAATGGTTGAAATAGCAATGCTAATATCACTATGTCTTTTGATTTGCCAGCACATGTTGTCTGACTGGTGAAATAGGAAAGAAATAGGCATATTTAAACTGATACATGTTCATAGAATCAGTATTGCAGTTTTACCCATCCCTAGCGACCTCTTTGATTTTTAAAACCATCATAATTTTAAGATATATAGAAAAATGTGAATAAATTTTTGTTCATGTTGATAATTTAGTACACTGAACCTGCATTAAATCTGTGTATTTAGAATATTTATCATGTTTATATAGATGTATTATCTGTTTATTCTTTACCTACAGGTATTTAAATTATTTGTTGCATAAATTTTTTGCATAAAATGTTTATCATATTTATATCTTTTTTTCCTCTGACCATGCTGACAACTAGCATACTTGAAAGATTGTGCTTAAGTATATAGATTTTACTTGGTTGATTTGATATCCAGATCTTTTGATACAATAAAAAAATAAAGCAAACAAAATCTTGAGCATATGTTTAGCATTTTTTAAAAATTTTGATGTTGCAGACACAAGAATCCATTTCGTGGACAGCAGTGACGGACAGGAAGGTGAAATATCAGAATGGCTGACAGTGGAGAACCTGGCCAAGCAGGAAACCATAGCAACACAGGCAGCGGGAACTGACAAGAAAGACAACCAAAGGTACTCAACTGAAAATTATGGAAATAAAAATACTGTAATCAATGATTTCAGTAGTTCACTATACCTTGATCACAACACCTTATTTTTCACAATTATAGTTAGGTAATTGGTATTAATAAACGCATCGTTTGAAATAACTGTGTGTCACACCATGCTGGAGACATACAAATTTAAAAGCAGTAAACAAAGAACTATATGCGGTATATTGCATATGTTTGCCCCCACAAAAGTCAAATTTTGAAAACTTCCTGAAATGTGCTGAATTCAATAAATTGTACGAGAAATATAAGTTAACAGAAAATATTATAGTTCCAGAGCAGTGTATTCACAATTTCTGTTTTTATGACGTCACAAACTAGTCCGATTTTATATCCTTTTTCAGAAAGAGGACAAAATGGACAAAATTTCAACAATTTAAGCTTTACAATTTATAGAGCGCATGTGTGTTCAGGAACAATATTGACATATTTCATTGATATTATCATTCTACACATTATATCAAAATATTTCTCCGGAACACACATGCGCTCGGTGACTTTTATTTAAAATATCGACGAAATATGTACATTTTTCTGCAAAATTCATAAAAAACCGAAATTACGTCATATTTGTGACGTCATTACGTACATATGACGTCATTACTTATGAAATTATTCAGTGCTTTGAAGTCAGCATATACTCCCCTGTTTAAGAACTTAATTAAATATTACTCCATCAAAGTTTGATTTTGGGGGGCAAATGTTGGTTAATACCGCATATAGTTCTTTGCATGTATCATTTCTAGCAGGTTGTGTTAAAATTTTGGATATTTAAAATTATTTGATAAATCATTTGTATCAGCTAATAGTATCTGTAGCAAAGTGAAACAAGCCAAGAAAAAGAATCCATCAGTCTTTAGATTCAGGGTTGAAGTCATCTCTGGTTATTGATCATGATGTACGCTATATCCATACTAAGTACAATACACATGTATATATACATGCATGCAAGAATGAAATTTTCATCTGCAGACAATTTTCTCAGTTTACTATATAACTTCAATAAAAAGAACATTAAATTTTTGATGGGGGTACTGAGGCCAGTACACTTTATTTACTTACTTACTTTACTAAGTTCTTACTCTTTCAAATGATTTCAGGCCAAAAAAACTTACCTTGAGTTTCTGGGAGACCACCACTTAAGGTTGAACAGTGAACACTGCCATACTAATCATTATTATTGACATCTTGAAATTTAATTTTGAAAATTTTTGCTAGGGAAACTAAAGATGAATGTTTATTTGCCTTACAATAAAGAATGCAGCTGACTTTTAAAGGTTAATTTGCACGTCACTTTAAGTCACAAGATCATTCTACCAGTAATTAATAAGAGTAAAAAAAAAATTGTTTTTCTGGGCTGAATTTGTCTTACGTACCGGTATTTTGTTTACTTGTTTTCAAAGTTATTGCTTCTTGACATTTGATTTAAAGCTCTTTCGTGAAAATGTGAAACAACCATCACTTGCTTTGATTGGCCAATGTATACTTTCAATATTTACAAGACTGTGAGATTCATCATGTTCATAAGAAAATATTTCCTTGCCATTTATTATATTTTGTTTTTATAATAATTAATTGTTATTTAAAACCTGCATATTTTAAAAAAAAAAAAATAACATGATCTTTTTATGTAATATATTTTTGATATTATTTTTTCGGTTTTTTTCAGCTATGGTTGTAATGGACTCCGCCTTTGTGCCATCAACAAAATGACAGAAGAAGTGGACAATAAAAGACTCCATCTGCTATTCAGTCCTGATATTATAGGACAGCCATCTCTGTGGGCTGATTGTGCAGAAGATCATCCGTTCTTTGTAAAAGATAAAGGTATACAGATTGGTCATCTCTGATGAACCAAACTTCCCTTTTCTACATATATATATATATTTATAATGGCAAGATGTTAAGTTAATACTTTGAAAGAATATTGAATTTCTCACCATAGCATAAATTGTTGATTCTGAATTAATTACAGTAGCACCTGGTATTATAGCCCACCTAAAACCATATGTGTCATGTAAAAACTTAATTCAGGCTTAAATTTTAAAGAAAGTATTATACCTTTCTGTACCTATACAAATCAAATTTGACATTTATTCACAATTTATCCTGCTTTATTGAAAAAAAATATTGGTTGTAGGATGGTCGTCATGCAATCCTTTGCTGACACACGACAAGTATGGAATTCCCAGCAATGTCCTTGAGGAAAATGATATTTGTCTTCAACCGGACCATCCAAAGACCAGCCTATCTGATGAAGTGTTTCACACCTCAAAAGGGTAGGCGTCTAATAATCTAGTCGTATATGATGAATGGAAGTATGAAGAAAAAAAATCTTCATTCTAATCTCAAAATATATGAAGAAAAAAAATCTTCATTTAACTTGAATATTGATAATTCAGATATCATGAATATGTGAAAGCAAGTTGGAAATTCCAACCATTTTTTAGATAATTTTAAAGTCTTTGTACATGTATCAGGGGTTTGGAGCTGGGCTGGGTTGTACTGTTTTGATAATTATTCCCTGTAAATAATGTTGATACTCTAAATAAAAGAAGTACACAAGAATCTTTTCAAAAATTTTAATACAAAATCTTTTTTCATTATTTTTATTGTCAGATAGACCCTGAAATAATAGATGAATAAAATAAGACAAAAAAAATCCTTTTATCATGTTTATTATGCTATTGAATTTTATGTAATTTTCAAGAAAGGCCAATGGTGTAAGAATCCCACTTGGCATTGATACAAACAAGCAAGAGTTTAGATCTACCTCAATACTTGACTGTTGCTGATCTGAATAAGAGTCTACATCTATATATTTATTATTTATATATCATAAATATATCTATCTCAATCCTCAGATATCTTGAAAATTTTCATTGGCCCCATCAAGTCAAAGATATGTGACTGGACAGTATGTTGTATTCAGTAGTAGTAACCATTATTAAATTCGTTTTGAAATACATGCATTGTTAAAGGTGACTTTATTTTTATGCAGATATGATTTAACACCGCAGGATCAGTCAGCGGTTTTCGCTCTGAGCCACATGGCCAAGGTATATGTGACACGAAAATCAAATTTTTAATAGAGAATTTTTTTTTTGAAGAATTTTGAATGATAATACATGTGACAGTGTTAGTCTTAGTTTGTAAATAGCACTTTTTCAAAAGCTGGAAGTTATTTTGATGTGAAACTGATGAAAACTTATTTCATGCAGCAAAAGCGGGACTCCGATTCTACATCTAGTCCCCAGTCTGGTTCTGGTTCCCCAACCAAGAAACGACCAATTAAAGACGAGGAGGGGAAGAAACCCAAGCGTCCAATGAATGCATTCCTACTGTTTGCTCAAAGGCACAGATTGACCTTGACCCAGGACTATCCAGGGAAAGACAATCGGTATATAATACATACATGTACTTTTTTCAGGGGCTGTCTTGATTCTGTGAAATCAAAACTTCTGCTCAGTCCAGGAGTAGGAAATAATGCATATTTTTAGGCATTTAGATCATGTTACTTCACCATGCAAACTATATTATTTAGCATTGTTTTTAATGCATTCAGTGATATTCTTATGGAGTATTTTGTGGTTCCATCATTAAATTCTGTTCATTGTAAGTTATATTGCTATCAGGGTAGTGTGTTGATGTTTTGTAGTGCTATCAGTATAATCCTTGGAGAAAAGTGGAAGAATATGAAAGAAGAAGAAAAAATGGTGTATGAGGAAGAAGCCAGGGTGCTTGCAGAGAAACAAAAACAAAAGCATCCAAACTGTTGGAAGAGAAAAAAATAGAAAGACCTTTTACTCAAGTAAGTAGGCCAATGTTCCGTAAGACATGTATGTTTTAAAGTGCAAATGACTAAATGCTTAAGGAAATAAAGAGAAATCTAAAAAAGAAAAAAAACTTTGTTTTTATGAAATGTAGATTTTTTCTCCCAAGGCCATGACTTTGATATTGACATATATGTACATCCACTGAATACCTTCTCCTTAATTTCTTACACCTTTGAGCTTGATCTATAGTCCCTGAAACGTTCTACTTTCCCATTTTTCCGTTCGCTCACCGTTCGTTCAGCGTGCGTTCACCGTTCGCTCTTCGTTCACAGTATTGCGTTCACCGTTCACCGTGCGCTCGCATTCACCGTTCACAAAACACTCACAAAACGTTCACCGTTCGCTCTTCGTTCCGTTTACTTTGCGTTCACCGTTCACTTATCATTCAGTCTTCATTGTCATTCGGAACTCCGAAGTGAAAGGACTTATCTTTTTGATGGTAAGGATTTACACGTTTTTTAGCTCACCTGAGCCGAAGGCTCAAGTGAGCTTTTCTGATCACATTTTGTCCGGCGTCCGTCTGTCTAGCTGTCTGTCTGTCCGTCTGTCTGTAAACTTTTCACATTTTCGACTTCTTCTCAAGAACCGCTGGGCCAATTTCAACCAAACTTGCCACAAAGTATCCTTGGGTGAAGGGGATTCAAGTTTGTTCAAATGAAGGGCCACGCCCTTATTCAAGGGGAGATAATTGGGAATTAATGAAAATTTAGTGGTATATTTTAAAAATCTTCTTCTCAAGAACCACTGTGCCAGGAAAGATGAAACTTATGGGGAAACATCCTCAGGTAGTGTAGATTCAAGTTTGTTCAAATCATGACCCCCGGGCGTAGGGCGGGGCCAAAATGGCCGACCAAAGTTTTACATAGAAATATATAGGAAAATTCTTTAAAAATCTTCTTCTCAAGAATGACAAAGCCATAATTCATCATATTTATATGGGAGCATGCTCATGTAGTGTAGATTCAAGTTTGTTCAAATCATGACCCCCCGGGTAAGGGCGGGGCCAACATGGCCGACCAAAGTTTTACATAGAAATATATAGGAAAATTCTTTAAAAATCTTCTTCTCAAGAATGACAAAGCCATAATTCATCATATTTATATGGAAACATGTTCAGGTAGTGTAGATTCAAGTTTGTTCAAATCATGACCCCTGGGGGTAGGGCGGGGCCAAAATGGCCGACCAAAGTTTTACATAGAGATATATAGGAAAATTCTTTAAAAATCTTTTTCTCAAGAATGACAAAGCCATTATTCATCATATTTATATGGAAGCATGTTCAGGTAGTGTAGATTCAATTTTGTTCAAATCATGACCCCCGGGGGTAGGGCGGGGCCAAAATGGCGGACCAAAGTTTTACATAGAAATATATAGGAAAATTCTTTAAAAATCTTCTTCTCAATCATTTTCTAAAAAATAGCAAATCCATGATTGGTCATGGGACTACTTTTGGATTTAAACTTTACAATAAAAAGCCATTTTATACTAGTCCTACCCTTGGTGCTCAGGTGAGCGATGTGGCCCATGGGCCTCTTATTAATTAAATAACTTAGATATCGTGTTTGGAAGAATAATTATTTCATTGCAAAAATTATCTATGATATTTATATTTCTATTATTATAACTTAGCTGTAACTTATTTCATGAAATTTCCCTGGAAAATAATACATTACATTAAGTACCTACATGTATGTAGAACGATGCTAAAATATTAATTAAAGAAAGGGCAATGTACAAATGCTTCACGCACGGCATCCATTTGTTGTAATTTTAAAGAGAAAAAATTATTAATGGATGTATAATAATCAATCCAAGTCTTTTACAGGACAAGAATACATAAAAAAAAATTATTTCTACAGTAATGCGTATTTTAAACCACACGTAGGTTTGAGAATTATGAACAGTACTGCAAATATTCAGTTAATTAAATATCTCTAGAGTTTATTAAATTGATAGTGTGGTTTTAAATTTTAGAAAAGACCAACTGTTTAAGATAGTCTATTAGAGCAGAAAAATTCCTTCCTTCACTGTACCTAAACATATGTTTAAATAATTAAGTATTATTAAGACACCCCCCCCCCCCGGTGCCTAAATTCTTAGAGTTTTTCATTATATTTTAATTAATATTTAATGTGTATTGTAACACAAGTAAACCAGTCTTAAAAACCAACATCAAAAAGTCATTAAACAATAGTATTTTAGAATAAACTTGTGCCGACAGTAATATTTTAAATTGGCAGGGAATATGTTTCGAATTCAATTTAAAACTTAATCCTTCCAAGTATATATTCCAATTATTTATTTATTTTTCTGCAGGAATGCAAAAATCAGATCTAGAAATGATAGGGAAAATTTAAAACGTCTTGGAAATACTAAGTGAATCTTTGCCTTCGGCATGTTCGGTGAAACGCAATTTCCACACCTCCACTGTGTCGAATTATTTTGATTGACAGGACAAGCAGGCTACTACATGTAGCACGGACTTCCTGTATACTGTGCGAACTTGATGATGGAAAATAAAAGCCAATGATTTCTGTCAAATGGATTTGTTAATCTAAAAAAAAAAAGATTACCTTTACTTCTTGGAATATTTAGGAAAAATAATAAGAATTTTTATTTGATACAACAGATATCTGAGAATCGAGGGGGTTATCTCTCTCTTTTTCTCTCTCTCTCTCTCTCTCTTTCTCTCTCTCTCTCTCTCTCTCTCTCGTATATTTCTCTGTTCAATAAAAAACTGTGACAGCACATTACTTATTTAGTTTTGAAAATTTAATCTATCACAAATATGCTTTTTTCCAAAATCTTGACTGAGTATAATCACGGCCGGGAAATGTCTACAGATACATGAAGAAGTTAACTAAAATAATCGTCATAAAAGAATACACAAGGCACATAAATAAAGAATATTTTGCATTAGAATTTAAATAAAACGAGAGTTTTTATGCAGTACTATAATAGTCAACGTCAACAGATAATTGTGAATTAATAAAAAAAAATCAGTTATTTTACACAGAATCACTTTGGCACGGAAATACATGTATGGTTTCAACCGCGTACAATGCAATTAATTTATTCTATTAGAAGAAGTTTTATCTTCAGAAGTCCACATTATTTTATTAGTGAAAAGAACAAGCATATTTACTATATTTAAATAGATTAATTTTATATTTAATCTACACGCGTTTGGAAACAAATACATGTACACATGTTTTACGGCAATTAAAATCGTGTAATAAAAATATCGATTTAAAACATAGGTACACATATGTACAGAACAAAAATGTTTTTATTATTTATTTATTTATTTATTTATTTATTCATCTATTGTTAATTTATATTTAAGTACCTGGAATTAGAATTATAGAATAATAGAATAAACTCAATGCAAGGAAAAGATCGGAGGCATTCAGAATAAATCGTTCATCTTGCATTCACCGTTCGTTCACCGTTCACTTTGCGCTCGCGTTCGCGCTCCGTTCGCGTTCTGCGTTCACTCACCGTTCACCGTTCACACATCGTTCACCAAGTTGTGTTCACCGTTCGCACATCGTTCACCCACCGTTGGCTCTGCGTTCGTTCACCGTTAGTTCAGCGTTCGTTCACCATTCAGGTGGGAAAGTAGAACGTTTCAGGGACTGTATCTTTTGACCTTGACACTTGACCTCACTTTTATTGAATTACAATTGTTTTTGGCTCACTTTTCAATGTTTATAAGCCATTCAAGATATTTCTATCAAACTTGATATGCTGATATGATTCAGTGAAAGCTATTCAACTACATCAAAAACTTTTGCTCATGATCTTTTTGTGACCTTGACCTCACTTTTCTTAAATATTGCATTTTGCTTAGTTTTAAGGGAACCTTTTAAGATATTTTTATCAAGCTTTTGCACTTATACTTTAATTCAGTAAGAAATAATGATACATATCAAAATTTTCTTAGATTTCAATTTTTGAAGAATCTATTCAAGATATTCTCATCAAACTTTATACACTCATTGAATAGTATAACTTTTATACCCTTATCAGGGCATTCAAGTCCTATGGACATATTTCTAATTATAATTAGACAATTTCATGCAAATTTCATTCAATTTATTTTTGTTTTCAGATTTATTGAATGATCTCATTTAGAAATAACCTGGACCACTGCCAAATCCCGTGCTCTACACTTATAATTTATATTTTGTATGTATTTTTTACATCTATACATGTACATGCATTTGAGAACTTTTAAAGTGAGTTGCAAGATTTTTGCTATTTAAATGCTTAGCTTTTCTTTATTGGTCACAATTTATTTATATTTTTTTAAGTGCTCACATTGATATATGCCATATTAGGAAAATGACTCACATATTTAATATTGTTATGAGTTTTGAAGATGTAAAACACCACAGATGTTATTTCATTATATATATTATATTTGTTACACTTCCATAGGTGCAAATTGAAACATTGTAAGAAGTTTTATTAACCCCACTGTTTTTACGGAAGAGAGGAAATTGCAAATTAACAATATAGCATTTAAAATTGATTTTTATCATATGGTAGGTGGGATACAAGTTCAAAACATATTGCAAAATTCATATAAAGTAGTTCAAATCGTAGTTAGCTGTCAAGAGTTTACTCAACCCTCATCATCTAAAACGCTGTCAGACCAGAAAAAGAACAAGATTTCCAGGCCTTTGAGATGTTTATAGCATTAAATATATTTAAAGAACTAGGGGTAACAACTTCCAAAGCTCATCAACTCATTCATGTTATGATATAGTGTTCATGATACCGAAGTTCAGTTGTATTATTAAATCTTTTATTTAAGACTTTATTACTGCTTCAAATATTTATTCTTGAAAATTATAGAAAAGAAAAAAACTTGCAGAAAAGCCCACTTTTTATGCTCATTTTATGACTGCAAACATTCCAAGCCTAGCATTACTTCCAATTAGGAAAAAGAACAGCGAAGATAGAAATACAAATGTAGCATAATGCTTTATTCTGGGAAAGTTTTTGCTCCTTGATTTTTATGCCCCCCTTCGAAGAAGGGAGGGCATATTGCTTTGCTGCTGTCCGTCGGTCTGTCTGTCTGTCGGTCCATTTAGTTTCCGTTCATTTTCTTCACAACCAGTGCACATACTGAAATGAAATTTGGTATACAGGTTTATCAGGTAAATATCTAGGTCAAGTTCTGTTTTGGGTACGATCACACCATTTTTGACAGAGTTATGGCCCTTGGACTTAGAAAAATTTCATTTATTTGCAGTTTCCATTCATTTTCTTCGCAGGGTTTTGGCTCCGATCACACCTTTTTTTGACAGAGTTATGCCCCTTGGACTCAGAAAAATTCCACTTATTTGCAGTTTCTGTTCATTTTCTTTGCAGAGGTTGCACATATTGAAATGAAATTTAGTATACAGATGTTTCAGCTGAATATCTAGGTCAAGTTCTGTTTTGGGTTCGATCGCAACCTTTTTTCAGAGTTATGCCCCTTGGACTTAGAAAAATTCCACTTATTTGCAGTTTCTGTTCATTTGCTTTGCAGAGGTAGCACATAATGTAATAAAATTTAGTATACAGATTTTTCAGCAGAATATCTAAGTCAAGTTCTGTTTTGGGTACGATTGCACCATTTTAGACAGAGTTATGCCCTTTTGGACTTAGGAAAAATCCAATTTGGGGTGAGGGGGGCATAAGTGTTTTACAAACATCTCTTGTTTTTTTTTTTATCCACTGTCATCATGGTCATGGAAATAAGTCTTCCATCATTTTTGAAATTATACAAAAATCTATTCATCAATTGACACTTGTATGAATCCACTTTTGATTCAGTTATCAGAAATAGGCAACCAGAATAAAAATTAAACGGAGCAAAAACTCTTGCCAGTTTACAGTAAGTTTGTTTTCGTTATAAAATGTTTTATTTGTGGTGATCTTTTATATGGATTATTTATTGATATTTAAAGAAATATTTGGAATGATGCATTGTCATCCACTAGGGATGTAAAATTTAGAAGATTTTTTTATTTATTGTGTTTTCATATTTTAATATTAGTTAATGATTAAGATATGTATCATGTGTATGCAAGAAAGCTGTTTTATGTTCTAAAAAAATACATAGTTGAAGTATTTTTCATGAAAATGAGATATATATTTTGCATGTTCTGTTATTTGTGAAGACTGACAGTTTTGAAAGTTTTTATTGTTATGTGCAATACTGTATTTTAAACACTAGAGAAATTAAGAAAACACTTTGTATTTTATATTTATCAAAATTGAGCATATTAATTCACATTTCTGATTGTTTTCTTTCTAGGCTGCATTATCATCATTCTTTGGAAATTTCATCAGAACTTCAATTTATTAGCAAATTAAACAATTTTCCTTCATTGAACCAGGGACTTCATCCCAAGGCAAAAATTAACATTTATATGAAGCAACTAAGGAAAAAGTGCTATAACAAGTTATGAAATAACTTTTTGAAGATTTGTAAAATGTAATTAAGATTTCAATGTAGGTCTGGAAGTGATATTTGATGCCTTAATTCCCTCCATTTATCAATCAATTCTAATCATTTATGTTGGTTGTGGAAAAACAGTTATGTTGGTTGTTCAGAAAATTTCTATCATTGTACGTATGTATTTTGATTTTTTTTCTATTTAATCTAGTCTACAATTACATTATAGTGCTTTAAATAGGACTTATTCGTGCATGATGTTTTGCAAGAGTGTGTCTGTTTTGTGAATTATGCTTTGTTACATTTAAGAATGATTGCACAGAAAACACATCCTGTGATTCCCATTTGATAGCCGTTTTATACTACGTTTTGAAATGCCGAAAAAAGAAGGCAGCATTGCATGTTATTTCCATCAAGAAATCTTTTCCATAAATACATTTTCCATAAATGTATTTGTACATCGAAACTTTTTTTTTAAATTCATTTTATAATCTATACACACTATATATGATAGAAGTGGAAGAATCTTGTTCAGAAAATTTCTTGCCTTTTTATATTAAAATGGCGTCTCAAACGTAAATCGAATTTTCTTCTTTTTTATCATCAGTTGGTGGAAGAATTGAGGTACGCAAAAACCACACTTAGATCTATAATTGGAATCTGCAAGAAAAATGTAGAATTGCAAGAATTGCTTCGAATTAACTTCAATGATGTTGAAAAAGCAGTTGATATCATCAGTGGAATTAAATGGATACTACTTGGATAATTGAGACTGAAACCGTTAAAAATTGCAGATAATTTATAACAATTTTGAGAGAATCATTTGTGTAAAAACTTAGTTTAAACAAGGTTGTTTCTTACATGTATTACATATTAATATCCTTATGGCTGTTGGCTGGGAAGTAAGTGAAGACCAGCGATAAACGTGATGACTTTACTTTTCAATCGTCATCTTCCGTAAACGTTGCATGTGCAGCAATATACCTTCATCAGTTGCATATGGAATTTTTAGCTCTACTGGTCAGAGACCAGAAGAGCTTATGCGATAGTAATGCGTCCGTCGTCCGTCTAGCTGTCTTTCTGTCCGTCTGTAAACAATTTTTCAAAACGCTACTCCTCCTACAGTTTTGGTCTGATTTCAGTATAACTTGGCACAGAAGTAGACTACACTAAGATACATAATTCTGTATATCGGTTTTTGATTTCGATGAACAGTGTTGCCGTGGTTACTAAAAATAGACATTTTTGTGAAAATCATTCAAAATGCTACTTCTCCTACAGTTTAAGTCTGATTTCAATATAACTTGGCACACAAGTAGACTACACTAATATACATAATTCTATATATCGGTTTTTGATTTCGATGAACGGTGTTGTCGTGGTTACTAAAAATAGAATTTTTTGTGAAAATCATTCAAAATGCGACTTCTCCTACAGTTTAAGTCTGATTTCAATATAACTTAGCACACAAGTAGACTACACTAAGATACATAATTCTATTTATCAGTTTTGATTTCAATGAACGGTGTTGTCGTGGTTACTAAAAATAGAGAATTTTTGAAATACATTCAAAATGCTACTCCTACTACAGTTTAGGTCAGATTTTAATATAATTATGACACACAAGTACACTGAGATACATAATTATCAGTTTTGTGCTTTGGATTTTGATGATTTATGTTGCCAAAGTAATTTAAATTGAAAAATCTAAAAATTTATTAAAAGCTTCTCCTGCAGTTGTAGTCCTATTGCAATCTTGCCTCAAAAAGAGACTTAATCAAGGATCAATATTCTGTTTATTGCTTTTATAAAGTTGTAAGTCCCACCTGCTACTTTTCTCTTTCTTTATTATAAGTACAAACAAACCAGTAGAGCCACAGTCTCGACAGAGACTTCTGGTTATATATTTCAGTTCATTCGATACCCAAGAGCATGCTCTACGTATGAACAATTTCTAAAACGAGGTAAATTAATGACAAACAAGTTGATGAAACAAGAATATCAGCAGACAGACAGTAGAGTGTTCTTTAAAGTCATCATTTTGTAAGTTCTTTGGTTGATACAATGAATTTGTCAGCGAATACAATTTATCATTGAGTCAAATGCTGACTGACGTTTTTCATTATTTCCCGATCATGACACGGAGCACACGACCGATGTTCATGACACCTTATCTCACCCTTGATGTTTTCGTGGCCCGTCTTTGCCCTGCTTCTACCCGGACTGCCAAAATTATTTCTGAAAGTTGTAGGTTTGGTATAATTAAACCTTTTACAAAAACTGCAATAGGAATTCAGACTCCTTTCGGTAAGAGAATATACATACTTGACTATGCTGAAAACCTTTTCTATATCGCACTCAATAGACATGAGAGACAAGGTAAAACAAAATTAATGTAACTACCGGTACTGAGAGAAGTATGCTGAATTAAATTATACCCCCACCTCCCATATGGTTATAACAAAGTCAATGTTTTTCTCTGGAAGACCCGAAAGAAGTGTCAGATCAAAAAGTAAAATAGGAGATGCACAAAGGCACTATGTAAGAAAGAATATGTAAAAGCACCATTAAATTTTATTCAGTATTGTATTAGAATATGCTACAAAATAAATATTATAGAAAATTATTATTAATATTATATTATATTACAGAAAATTATTAAAAAAAAAAATTACCGGTATATGAATTGTAAATTCCAAGCAGAAGGTTTCATTGTCACATTTACTTTATTTTCAAAGTACATTTTAATTCTTCCTTTAATATCACAACACTATTTGAGATACCTATATCACTGGATGACTGCATGCAGTATAACAATGTCACATGAGCACTTCAATCAATATGAACTGCATTTTTGAAAATTTTGTTTTGCTTTTAAAATGTGTTATTATGATAAATTTGTATGTTATTTAGTAAACCTTTTTGATTATAATTAGATTAAACTAAAGCATTGAATTGTTTCAGAAGAAAGACTTCTGTACAATCGAATATACAGTAATATATAAGAAATCATGATTATACAGGACGACAATAATGTAATTTTGATTCAAAGCTTGTAAGTAGTTCTTACATCGCAAATATGAACAACAGAAGTTGATATAAACATTCTTTTTTCTATCATTAAAATAGTTATTCACAATTCAGCAGCAAAAAATTCTGACATCAAATTTAGAAAATGTTCGATTACCTCTAGCACAAAATGGCTAGATATTTTAGGGCATGTTTGTCAGATGCTGTTAATACTAATAGCATGTCTAAAATTGAAGAGAAAATTATACCCCCGCCTCCCATATGGTTATAACAAAGTCAATGTTTTTCTCTGGAAGACCCGAAAGAAGTGTCAGATCAAAAAGTAAAATAGGAGATGCACAAAGGCACTATGTAAGAAAGAATATGTAAAAGCACCATTAAATTTTATTCAGTATTGTAAATATTAGAATATGCTACTAAATAAATATTATAGAAAATTATTATTTAATTTAATAGTTTTTCAACTTTTTGCAATTTACAAATCTTATAGATCGAGATAACATAAAGTTTTACCTCTTTTTTCATGTTGAATTCCTCTCTCGATTTTCAACTGTAGCATGTTGGTCTCGCTGAATTCTCGCGAGGAAAGCTGTTCGGACGTTTACGGATTTTGTTCATATTTTATTACGTTTATCTCCGAATTCTTCCGATTTATGCTAATGAGGTTAGGAGGTGTGATATTGCTTAAACAGGATGCACATGGACCACAGGCACAGGCGCTTGTCGTTTTTAAACTTTCTTTTCATAAATAAAAATATCTCCTTTAATTAGTATAAGGAATATTACGTCGAGGGCCTGTCAGACTACAGCGTCATTGCAATGGGGTCGATGTATTTAACCAATGTCTTAAATATTCATTCCATTGAAATTTGTGAAATGAAAAGTTTCAAAAAAAGGGTTCATGACATTATCATGTGTGTGCTTTTTGTAAAAATAGTTGAAGTTTCAGTAATAAGATACATGTATCATATAATAGTTCATCATGAACAAGGGTACATGCAGATGTGTAACTAAAACAATTACCATTCGTTAATCTCTTCTTGGACTTGACCCTAAACACACCAGAAGAGAAAGGAATAATATAATAATATTATGATAATAATATTATTATAATAATATAATGTCAATAATTAACGATCTTTGTCGTCCAATTTGCATTTGTTAGTATATACTCAGTAGATCTTGTATTTGTTAAAGTTTCAATATCATTCATCCGCTGATAAAAGCGTTTGTGTGATCGAGTTATCGCTCTTCAGCAAGGTTTGGAGAAATTTCCAATACCGAAACCTATTACTTTAGTGACAAATAGAAACGCTATAAACCTTATGTTTTACGTTTTAATATCAATTTGTATCATCTGACATACACGTACATAGAATATTTTTCAATACCGGTATTCCCAACAATCAACATGAATTCGAATTACAATATCTCTCTTGGATTCCAAAACTTCATAAAAATCCTTACTAA